AAAATTATCCAGTCTGAGAAAAAATGCAATGCTTTTAATACGTGTGCAAACGTTATACAATTGTTCCCAAATTCGTGATTAAGCCAAACATATTACTAGTAAGTTTTTGGAAATTCTTTAAACTTCAAAAATAAATGAAAAAATAAATAAACTAAAAGGGATAAGAAGAAAAAGGTGTGCCACGAAAACTGTGCTAATTTTTTCTTCTCTTCTTATTCATAAATAAAGGCACGTATGAATGACTAAATAACGTTATTTTTCGTTGTTGTATCAGAACTACGTTACGTCTATCTATATGTACAATCCTTGATACTTACCTAAACCAAATATATTACGCAGCCTCTGTCCTTCTGGAGAATCTGGACTATGTATTAGTTCAAGGCATCTGACGTACGCCTGAGCTCTTAAGAACTGCTCGGCAGTTCTCAGCTCGGCCTGTCGTGTGGTCTCTTGGGTCGCCTCACTAAGGTCCTCTTCTAAAACGTTGGGACTTGGATTTATGAATCCACCTGTTACCATGGAGCTCCGGGATGCAGTACCAGAGTCTTCATCACTTCCACTGTCTTGGGGAATTGGTCCGCCCACCGCCACTGGCACGTCCACCGGATCCAAGTGTACACCGCCGCTTGACAGAACCTCGGGATCGGTGTGTTGGGGACTATTGTGGCGACTTCTAGACATGTTCTGATCTGTAACTGGAAGGGGAATCTAGCCTTCAATGGAGAACCCAGGAGTGGGCGGGTAGGACACAAGTGCTCCCCCAGCTGCTAAACTACCACCACCGCCCCCCCCCCCTCCAACGACACACATAACTAAGCGTCACAAGCTAAATAAGACAAAATTTAGCATATAATGTAAAATTGTCCTCGTTTATAATTTCATATACATGTACCTCCTTTCGATCGGTAATTACTTTCACTCCCCAAAATTTATACAAAACTGAGAAACTGTCAGTAGTTACTTTTACCTGTAAATGTTGCTTACAGATAAAATTTAATACATAATCCAAGGGCCGTTATCAGTTTATAAGTTAACTGACGTGAAAACAGACTAATAAAATAACCATCTATATCATCTTTTTGGCTGCCATTTGTTGACATGCGATTTATTGAAGGAGAACTGAACTTTAAACAAAGGGTTATTTCGTTAATTTCCTTCCAATATGTATGTTATATATATATATTTTTTTTTTTACTTTTTTACATATACAGGCCCTGTCTTTGATCACATAAAGGAAATATGTAATTAAAATTGCACAAACTCTTTCCTCAAACAACAACTCAACTCGACTAAGTTTATTTACAATCCGCTTGTTGAGGCTGCACTTAAATACCTAGTACAAAACGCAGCTGATAACCCTTCGTAGCTATGAACATGAAAGTCTATATTCACCTGTTTTATGTGACCGCTTCCAAGTTCCAGTGACTGATATTTGTAATACTATAATAATTTTAATTTAAATCAAAAGAACCTTCCTCCAAAATATCGAGAACGGTCCAGAACGTCGTGAACATATCGGTTGACAAAATTTTAACTGAATTTTTTGGCGGGAGAATTATTTATTTGTTAACCAATTCAGCCTAGTAAAATTTTAACATGATGTAATATGGGCATTTTTCGATGAGTAACACAAGCATTAAGTAAACTTTAAATTCTTCTAAGAAGCTATACAAGAAGCTGTAGTTGCTATAAAAAGACTTGAAAATTTTGATGATTAACACATAGTAAAAGTTATAACTCGATAACTTCCTTAACTGCATGATTTATTGATCAATGTATCAATAATATCGTTAGGGACAGATTACTCGAACGTGACAAGCATTCGTACGTGTAAGTCTGCTTGGCGATTACGATTCTATGTATTTACACGGTTAAGATGCATGAAAATTGGAAATTTAGAGGGTGGTGTCAATGGGAAATTCTGATATTAATTTGGGTAAATCCATTTTCATGTATTTTAAGTAGCTATCTGGAATTCCCCGATGTGCAGTAAAAGCGTGTCAAAATATGTTTAACCCAGTGACTGTATTGAGGTCATCTTTTGTCCTCACTTAGACTAACTAGGTTACAACTCGTTGTAAGCAAACAACCAGAGTTCACATGTTAGAGACGCTACCGCACACGTTTAAGCTACAGAAAGGTACTCACTGGCGAGAGAAGGGCTATACTAGGGCGGGGTAGGGGTAGGAAAAGAAGGGTATTTTTCTGAGCCAACCAATACAAACATAAATCCCTTGACGGGGATTATTTTAATGTAATATGCAGGCGTTCGGTAATTACTTTACACCCCCCCCCTTTTCAGCATTACCGCAAAACTACCAGTAGTTACTATTTTTAACTGTAACTTTTGCTTATAGATGTACTTTGATGCCATCAGTAGAATTGTTCTTTGCCATTAAAGTGTTTATAATACATAATGACACGAGTTGTCATCAGATTATAAGTTAAATGGCGTGAAAACAGATTAATAAATATCCATCCATTTTAGCTTTTTGGCTGCCGTACAGGTATTAGTTAAAACGCGTCTAACTGATGGTCTTTAGGAAAACTGAACTTTAAACAAAGGGTTATCTCATTAAATCTTGCCAAACAATAGTTTTGTTTTTTAGATTTGTATTGCACCCCTTGTTTTCTTCTGGAAAATACAAGCCCTATCTTTGCTCACAAACCGGAAATATGTAATTCGAATTGCATTAACTCTTTCCTCAAACAACAATTTAACTCCACCAAGTTTATTTACAATCCGGTTGTTGTCTCTGCATTTTAATACCAAGTACAAAACGCAGCTGATAAAGTTATTTTAGCGGAATTGGAAAGATAACCCTTTGTACATGTAACTATAAACATGTAAATCTATATTTACCTTGTTTTATATGACCGCCTAAAAGTTCCAGTGACTGATATTTGTAATACTATAGTAATTTTAAATAAAATCAAAAGAACCTTCTTCCAAAATATCGAGAACGGTCCAGGGCGTGGTAAACAGATCGGTTGATAAAACGTTGACTAAAGTTTTTTGGCGGGAGAATTATTTGTTTGTTAACCCAGTAAATTAGTAAAATTTTAACATGATGTAATATGGGCATTTTTCAATGAGTAACACAAACATTAAGTAATTTTGAAACTCTTCCAAGAAGCTATACAAGACACTGAAGTTGCTATAAAAAGACTTGAAAAAATTTGATGATTAACACATAGTAAAAGTTAAAACTCGATAACTTCCTTTACTTCATGATTTATTAATCAATGTATCAATAATATCGTTAGGGACAGGTAACTCGAACGTGACAAGCATTCGTATGTGTAAGTCTGTTTGGGAGTTAATTTTCCCAACGGTGATCACGATTCTATATGTTTACACGGTTAAGATGCATGGTACTTGGAAATTTTGAGCGTGGTTTCCAATGAGACAATTCTGATACTTATTTGGGTATATATCAATTTTCATGCATTTTAAGTAGCTATCTGGAATTCCCCGATGTGCAGTAAATGCGTGTCAAGATATTATTAACCCAGTGACTGTATTGAGGTCAGCTTTTATCCTCACTAGGTTACAACTCATCGTAAACAAACAGTGAGAGTTCACATGTTAGAGACGCTACCGCACTCGTTTAAGCTACGGAAAGGTACTCACTGGCGAGAGTATAGGGCTATACTAGGGCGGGGTAGGAGAAGAAGGGTATTTTTCTGAGCCAAGCGATTTAAACATAAAACATTTGACGGGGGTATTTTAATGTAATGTGTTGGCAGAAATAAATAAAAATTGCCTGAATTACTATACTTTGGTCATTGTTTTGATGGGGTAAAGGGAGGGGGTGGAGGGAAAAGGAATAAAGCCTGTGCTACAAAATGGGGGGAGGGGGCGTATCCCTTTTATCTTATCTACTAACTCTTAAAGCAATCCAAAATCCTATAATAAGTAACACTATTCGATAAAGAACAAGGTGTCGAGAAAAACGGGGGGGGGGGGGGGGAGATAGGTGAAATATGGCAATGGACATGGGGGTGGCAAATTGTGTAGAGCTTGTTTCTAAGCAGAACAAGGGTCGAGAAAAAAAGGGGGGGTGAAATACGGTCACGGACATGAGGGCGGCAAATTGTATAGAGCTTGCTTTTAGCTGTAATCTTTTGGTGTCTTAAAGAAGAAAGTCGATATCAGGATACCAGCAAACCTTCCCGAGACTCAGATTAAAAGGAACTCTATCTGAAATGTTGACCCCATTCAAACACTTGCTAAGTTAAAGATTTGGTTGCTATGTATTATACGATAAAACGTGCACTCGTACTGCTTGATTTATTTATCTGCACTAAATAACTAAGACGTTACATTAGGGAAAGTACGTTATATCAAATAATACCTCCTCATATAGGTCCATATAGGTTTTCACTGATCGGATGTTTACAAATGAAAGCTAGAGAATATATACAGTGCCTGCAATTATATTAAAAATCGAAAATGATATAATAAAACAGCACACATGTTCGTTATATGTTGTAAAAGATATCACTTGATAGTCATTTTTGCTTGTTGTTATTTACAGTAAAGCGCAAACTATACAGTCTTACCTTGTGTGTTTGATTTTCAATTTCTTTTATGGCCCAAGATACGTACCTCTCTTAGTGGGGCGCTTTATTTTCTAAATATCGCTTTAAAAGTTTTCTATATATTTATACACCCACTATCTGGAAAGTACCGTATTAAAACATTATTAATCACGGGTACAATTATTCATCAGTTTTACAGACTAACCCAAATTTCCACACAAAACTTCCTTGTTTAGGCCTTATAAATTCTATGCTGAAAAACTCAGTTTTCTCTTTTGAAGTTGGTGGCTGCAAGAGAGTGGGAGAGAGATTTCTCCTCGTATGATAAACGGAGGGCGTATAGCATGTATCATAATGAATACAGAGCTAAAATTTAAATTGCTACCAACGAGTTGGATAAGTAAACAAGTTCATTGGCTACATGTCAAATTAAAAGTATATTCTAATAATAAAATTTAGCTGTCCACTTCGTGGTGGAACCCGTTGGGCAGTTGTTGAATGTCCTCGCTCTTCGCCGCGGCAGCATGCTTTCGTTTTGTCCCACTTTCTGTCTCTGGCTCACCGGCTTCTGCTGCAATGATGAAGATAAGAAAAAAAGTTGCAGTCATACAACATTTTCACAAGTGGATCGGAAACTATGATAAGGAGAAGTGGTGGAGGTCGCAAGATTAATAGTTTAACTCGCTTGGCAAATATAAAAATATTATCGGAGAATTTTACTATAATATGTAGCCCCCACCCCCCACCCCAACACACACGCACACAAACACACACACACACACAGCCACCACCAAACATTTTGCTATCAAGTTAAAACACTTTACAAAAAACACATTTCGGATTAATTTTATTCAACAATAATAACAGTTGTTTGGATATCTCTAATTTAAACCACATAGTTATTGATTACCTCTACTTTTCTTACCAATATAGATTTTCCAAATAAATAAGAGGTTTACACTTTTGCAATGAAGAAGAAAGTGTAACACGGCTTTCAAAAGTTTATGCAGTGCTTTTATTTTGTCTTTATTTTTATCCGGAACGACTGACGTGATAAAATTCCCAACACGCTTTCTTCATTTTACTATAAGACATTTATATCGATCATTATTATTGTTACCATAAAGGCATATATTGACTGTTAGACATATGTTCTTTCCACACATCTCACCACTCCTCTTTTTATTACCAAGGTATACTTCAGCCAAAACTGCAATGTTCGATCCATAAACGAGCTTTAAATTTCTCAGTAAAATGCGTAACCTCCAATCTCCAGTGAAATTACTCAAAACCACAAATTTAGAGACCAAAACGAGATTCGGTTTATGGAAAGTAGTTTTATGAACGAATTACGTAAATGATAAAGGCGACGAAGGGGAAACTACATGTATAGCTGTAGAAATCGATAGAAAAATTGATTTTTGTACATAAAGTCGAACCCTCAATGTGCGTTAAGTAGCACTTGTAAGCAGTCTATATATATACTGTATATTCTTTTTTATATATTTACCATGGTCAGTTTCACTGCTGGACGATTTTTCATATGTCACCCGGCCTTTTCTCCGAAGATCACCTGAATGGAAAAAAAAGTTATGCCATGTTGAATGAATACACTATTTCTCCTCTCTTATTCTCGTCCCTTCTCCCTCTTTCTCTCAGTACCCACCGAATAGGTCTATCCCGTCCTTGCTCATGGTAACTCTCTGACCTTTTTTTCTCTTTTTTTCCATCTTACGCCCTTGCATTTCCCGCTTTTTGCCATTCTCCATTTATCAAATACAGGTGGCAAATAAACTTGCAGATACGCTCCGCGCCCTTTCTTTGATTTAGAAAACCCATGGGTCCACACGGCGACCTAGATATCTCAGTCAAGGTCATTCACCTACATGTACTGGTACTTACAGATAACACAGTCCACGTGATGTCCAGGAAATTGTGGGTTTCTCTCTTGAAGATACGCCAGTAGTTTTAGGTTCTTAGCACTTGGCTGCCCACCGAACTTCGGCCCCGACAAGACACTTTTGTGATTCACCTGTGTCGAATTGAAGTAGACTAGGTGTTTTCATTTAACTCCGAATTTTACATTTCAATTGATTTAAGTCAAAAACACACACGAAGTGCGTAATATGCACACTGTATTTTGCTTTAGTCATGTATAAAATACGAAAACAGATACGTGGCAGGAAAAATTGTATTTCAATAGTTTTTGTCAAAAAAATTGCGCCTACCTTCATCCAAATATGCTTCTGTTCGTATGGTGTCCAGAACCACATTTTCAGGGCAGCGCAGTACGTGAACCACAATTCTGTTATACCAGTGTCCCCTGTAAGGCACGTAACGAACTGTAAAACCATGTTTCAATGCAAAGAATATGTTTCAAAGTAGGAAATTTCAGGGAATAATCAAGAAGTCAAGATTTTGTTCCTAAGTGTACTGACACGAAGATTTTCTTACCTTCTGCACCCTCAGCTTCGTTCAGCTTCTCCATTAGCTCAATCATACCGAGTATATCTGGTTCGTTAATGGTCACTTCAAGAGTCAACTTCTTTCCCTCTCTTTTTGCTGCCTCTCGCATTTTCTCGGAAATGAGAGATTTCTCAAGAGTCTCTCTCAGCTCGCCGCTTCTATAGGCTTCAACTAATTTTCTCAGAGATTCAACATCTTTGGGAACCAAGCTGATGATGATGGAGCCCGTCTTTATGTCTTTTAGAGTTAAGCATACGCCCACATTTTCAAAGGATTTTTCGAAAGATGGGATATCTTCGCTGACATGGTGAATTCCTTGGTCGTGATACCACGAGCTTTCGGCATCTCCAGTTTTAGTGGGTTCGGATGCCCCGCCGCTGGTGTCAATTTGAACTTTCATTGCCACTGTCACTAAAAACGAATGATATACATCCAGTATCTTGACACTTTTACGGCCTTGATTTCCTTTTTAAACATTACATTTATACCCTATTTTTATTGTTAATTATACTATGAATGACAAATTCCTTTATGAAAATAATGCATAATAAAAGAAGATCGTATCCTCACTGATACTCAATTTATGAGCCTTCCATGAGCCCCTTTGTATTTACACCGGCAGATTCGGGACTATGGTAAGGATAGGGAAGGGGGGCAGGTACAGATGCAAATACAAATAAAAAGGTGATCGTGTTTGGAGGTGAACAGGATACCGCTGAAACCAAGGGCGACTTCATGCTGTCTCCTTCACATCCGATTTATACCACGCAGTCATACACTTGTCATAAAAAAAGAGAAAACAGAGAGACGTACGTGTTTTTAAAGGAATGGAATAGATCCCCTCACTGTTCCATATCGTCCCTTGTGAATCTCGAAAACCCGGAGCTTCTTCGGGTGTTCTGGTATCTTGACCTGCAGTATCCTGTACGTTACTAAAAACGCTGTCAGTTTCATCCAAGATCACTATTCCTTCTTCGGGCACTTCTGGCGTAGACAAGGCTGACGTCACACTAACTCGTGATGAGCGAGCGCTGCCAAAGCCACTGTCACGTGTTGAGTCTCGGCTCACTAAAATATAGGATGACATGTCAGTGAAATCATTGCAAATCATGCGTTTATCACACGTCACTCATTTTGGTTAGATGACATGCAAATGCACTTAGTAAGTAGTTTCATTGCTACGTCACACTGGGACGTCACAATATAACATTTCGTTTACGTCGTAATGGGGACTTTGTACACATAATTAAAGCTACGATTGAAATGTTGATCTCGTCACTGCTCACTGCGGCTTACGTTTTTATTATTTTTATTCTAGGTTATAGGACAATCCCCCTCCCCTAGACAATCCCCCTAGACACCCCACTATCCCTGAGAATAATACAGTGCTTTTGAATGATCTATTTGAGGCATTTATACATTTCTTGAATATTTTACTGAATATGAAAAAGAGACAAAAAATAAAAAAGGATTGGCTGTTAGTTATAAGAATATGTAAGTTCACTTACGCGCTTAAACAGACCTGAAGGGCACATGTAACCTTAAATTATTAGATGTTATTGATGCAATTTTCTTAAATTGCCATTAGATGTCATTTTAATCAAACAGATGCTAACATTTTATCTATTTTTCTAAAAGCAAACGAATGTCATTTTATCTACACTCTGTTTGATCTTATTGAGTTTTCTGAATAATAAGTTGAGTACATAATAAAAATAATAATGAAACTACAAAATGAAAACAAATTTCGAAAGCTGTTTTCATGTCAGAGAGTAGTGGTGAAACAACTAAACCTGACTGTCAGTTCGTCAAAGTGATAGTAGGATGAGTGAGATTATTTGTTTACCCCACTTCTTTCTGACATCGGGATGCACCTTTCAAGGCAGACAACGTGATTAAGGTTACGTATATGTGTATATGGGGGTTAACGATGAAAAGTGCCATTTCATCAGAAGGATACCTAGATGAGTAAGACTATCTGTTAACCCCACCTCTACCTGGGGATGCTTTTTGATTTAAGGCTGACATAATTTTTTCAATATCATTTTCTGTATAATATTTACTGCTATGGGGGGGGGGGGGGGGGGGGTGTCCGGGTGGAAGGGGAAATGTCCGAGGGGGGATTGGCCGGGAAGAATTGCCCTGATACATGGACGATTTATTTTTATGTTTATTCATGATAGGAGTGAGGAGTTATGAATTAAAACAAAATGGTTTTTCTTAGTGCAAATCTGTCAACATGCGTAACAACTAGCTTTTTAAACCGTACATATTCACGATGAGTTTATAGAGTATAGATATAAATATACAACTAGCAGGTGGGCCTTTAAATTTACTTAATCTAAAATGACTTGTTTACACAATGCCAAAATCCTGGATGACACGGGTTACGTTTTGTACTAGACATGTATTTTCTTCTTCTTTTTTTTTTTTTTTTTTTTTTTTTTTGTACAAGGTACTTCTGTTCAGAACATTTTTTTTAGTTAAACTGATATTACCGGTCGTTGTAGCTCTCCGCTCCCCTTCCCCTTCAGGTGGGTTATTTCTTTTTTCCACTTGGCTGCTCGGTTTCCCCGACATTTTCTGGACTTGAATGCAAGTACGGTGTATTTGTAAGGAAAGTAGCAAGTAAAGCATAACGAAAACGTTAAATACGTTCGGGGATCAAGATACGCTTCCCTTTCTCACAATCTGAAAGTAGTTTAAAACATGCTTATCAGTAAAATATTTTGGTCGTATACTGTCTGCTACCCTTGACCCCTTCCCTTAGCTTCGAGGTACCCTCCCCTCCCCCTCCCCCTCCTCCAAATTAAAATGGCCACAGGAACACGACAAACCGGAGAAAATCAAGGAACTCTTCTTTCCCTGTGACCTACGTGACGTAGCGAAATTAATCCCATATCTAGCAAACACGTCACGTCCGGATCAAGTGGCTAGCACGTTGCTACCACATTATAACGTCATAGAAACGGATTAACCACGTGTTTGCTGGGTATCTACCTTATACCCATATGCGCCCCCATTCCATATTGGCTGATATGTCTAAATAGCAAGCATAATCGATTTAGTCTACACTCGTAAGACTGAACCTTCTGTAACTCAGTAACTTATACGTCGCATACAGCACAAATCGCCCTCTCACCGTATTGCTCTGGAGATGATCTACGGGTCTCAATGTGCCCGTGAATACAGTGAACCGTTCTGTTTGAGAGTTAACTTTTATAGATCGCGCAAATATCAATGAGGGCCCTTTTCATGTAAAATGACGTCATAGATAAACATATCAACCCTATCAAAAGGGAGTCAAAAAAATCCCCTCGTACGAAAATGGTGACAATGGCCCGTTGCTTAAAGTATAATGGCGTGTGGCGACATACCCGGTATTTACATTATTTGTCACACCCAGCATTCTGACACGTTCTCACAAGTTACCGGTAAATGCTGTTGATAACCCCACACCCTACAAATAAAACACCCTGTGACTCAATATGTCATATAAAGTATATTGTATGACTCTGCATGAGCCTTAAATGTAAAAAACAATTCAGTGCTCAATAAATTGTTATTATTAGTAAAAGGGGCGAAAATGAAGCGAAGCACATAAATAAAATTCCCCATGACTACATTTTTGTGGATATTTTTTTTTTAAATACAGTATTAAAATACGAGAATGATTATATGGTACAATTGTGCTTGAGACGGAAATGCATGAGGAGATTAATACTTTTTACAGCAACATCACATATCTAAAAATATATAACATCAGTAATCAATGATATAGCAAAAAAATAATTGTGAAATTTTGATAAGACTAACTTAGATTTTGATGTAAAGGAATGCTACGGGAGGGGGCCTACATAACTATACATGCAGTGAGTTCGTTTGGTAACTCTTAAACTAGAGAATCAAGAGTTACTCGGTAAAAACTGAAATTGTCTATGAGCTGGGTGTAAAGCGCCTCCCTTCAATGTCGGTTGAATTAGTTTCTAACCTTTTCAAGTCATTAAATATATACCGGTACAGTCAATTGAACGCAGGGGAATTCCGAGCCAGCTTGATTTGAGATAGACCATATCTTGCGAACAAGCATATATAAATAAATAATAGAATAATTCCATTATACTAAAAAAATATTGTCAAGAAATTATTTCTGTGAGCAGGAAGGAGGGTACAGATCACGAGCCTCACTGTGTCAAGCTTTTAAAAATTAAAATGACTTATTAATGAAAATTAAAATAAATTAAAATTAAAATTAAATATAAAATCAAAATGACTTATTAATGAAAAGAAAGGAAATAGGTTTATAGGATGCCGGCTTTATTACAATGTATAATGATCAGCAATACGTTATTGTCAAATCGATTCCAAATCTTAATAATAATAATAATAATAATAATAATAATAATAATAATAATAATAATAATAATAATTTATATGTCGCATTCCATTTAAAATTTCTATGTGTCTCAAAAAGCAAGAACTAAATTTTTATTCATTTAGTTATAGTACATAATTAAAAATAATCTACAGGATAAAAGGTTTGCATAGTTCGACTCTATCCATCTTTTGCAAATAGTAATTTGCCCTATGCATCGGGCGGATTTATTTTAAGGGCACATTTTCGACAAAGAGGTTTAAGATATGTAGTTACTCCTTGCACAAATTATTTCAAGGGTCCTGAATGTTAAAGAGACAAAATACCAGAATTATCTATCTTATCAACTTTCTGCTCGGGCGTTCAACCCACTTGGAGTTGGACAGCATTGGTTCCGATTGTTATTCAGATTTTTGTTTGTTTTATTATTATTTTGTTTTATTTCTTATGCACGTACTCTCTCCTCTTGAAAAGTATAACTATAATCAGACAACCTTGTTTGAAAGTTATAAGAAGTGCTACCCTCTGTTGGCAGAAATTACGGGAAGTACCCGATTTCAAATCGAGACAGTGACCTTTTTCAATCAAACGTAAGAACATGTAATGGTAAATGAAATATTTGAGACAACAGTACAAGAAGATTACACACATTCCAATGTGAACTATCTAAAAGAAAAAAAATTTAAATCTGCTTATACACTTACTTATCGTTTAAAGGGGGCAATCATATTCACATTTCAGTATTTCAACAACACCAGCTCGCTCACCTTGTCACGTACACCTTGTCGCTCGACTGGTAGAACTGATAAGAAAGGTGTAAAGCATTGATTGGCAGAACTTAGGGGGAATACCCTAATACCCTTTTTCAATTAGTCGCAGTAACCCATTCTCAATTGTTAATAGAAAAAATGCCATAACGCTTGAACTGGCTGGGATCATTTTATAGCTATTATTCTACATCTGAGCATTGTGAACTACATGTACAAAAGTCGGCCTTTCTTGATATTTTAAGATTTGTTTATAGGTTCGTTTTTTTTCTGTAACGCTGACTATGCATGACACTGAGCTGTAACAGTTTATTAACACTGAACACGAGAAATCTTTCCTTACAATTACCACTCAATACAGGGGCGGTTCCAGGATTATTTGAAGGAGGGGGTATAACGTTTTTAGGTATGACAGGCCGAGGATGCAAAGGCGACCCTGCCCCCCACCCCCTCCCTTGGCGTGGGGTTCAGGGCCCTTCGGCGAGCCCCGAAAAGTTTTGGTATTTTAGAGGGCGAACGGTGTCATTTGGTCCGATTCAGAACTATGATTCAGCTATACTAGTAAAAATTCTAATTACAAGAGGGGACCACTAGTGTGATTTTTTTTTTCAGAAATCGAAGGGGGGTAGAGGTCAGGACACCCCCAACAGCCCCCTAAATCCGTTACGGCATTGGTGATGATACCTACTACCCCAAGAAACCTATTTATACCAGTAAAAAAACATTCCACAGGATTTATTAAGTTTATAAGTTTATAATCAGTCCTGTCCTGCATGTGCAGGGTCCAATCAATATTGACTTGATGTATGATACATGTACACGGTTTTTTACTAAAGAACCATCACTGGATTCTGTATAGTGCAACAGTTAACGCTGCGGAATCTGCTCGAGTTCTAGGTCCGAATCCTACTGTCCCAACAAGATTTTTCTTTTTTTATTATTATTAAGAGCAAGTTCTTGTCTTGACTCTATATGTATGGTTTGGTATATTATTAACCAATAATAATAATGACCTTAAGAAAGTTTTCATATGAAAAAATGTGGACAGAAACACTATTGCTGGTTAAGAGTACTGCTCTGCAGGTTGGAGAAAATAGTGTCAACTGTGTGCACCACTAAAATGTACCCTCTACCAGGGCGTCAGATTAAATTTTCACAAGATATTCACATATATGTCTTTAGATAAATAGACTGTTATTTGATTTTCTGACTTGTCTTTTTAGAAAATTTGCCCATATCTGCCACCTTGGCAGAGGGTAACTAAAATGCATGTTTTTTTTTTTCTTCAGAGGTGTAGGGATTTTGAATTGAGCTCTGACAAGTGCTCTTTCTTACTTCCGAATCCCCTTGCGGGGATATTCAAAAAAATGCTTGTCGGCCTATATGTGTATGTCTGTTTGCACTTTTAGTCCTTTTTTGAGATACAATTACCTGTTATCCTGGGTATTCTATTCCTTCTTTCGACGATAAAGTGATGAAAAATATATTTGTAAATCTAAAACTGATCCGCGAGTGGAAGTGCAGACCACAGGCCTTTGTTAAGCAGTGTAAAGTTCTATAACTAAATAGGCCTAAATGAAAAGATGCACCAACAGTACTAGTACTGTACAGATTAAAGCTACTTCCTGAGACAAAAGAAATTGCAGTGTTTTACTTCCCGGAAATTCCTGCATCAAGCTAATGAATTGATAAATGAAGTACACAATCTACGTAAAAAAAAAATTGGATATGTTATACACTGGCTGGCAATAAAAGTAAAAGTTAATGTTTTTTTTTTGTTTTTGTTTTTTTTAAGGCAGCCTATTGTAAGTGGGTTAAACCGTTGAACATGTATAGGGAAAGGTTTGAAGTAAAAGTGTGATCAGATTTGTGTTGTAGTAAATTGTTGTGATTATTTACATTGGTTTAAATAGGACTGTCAAACCTATAGAATAAAGCAAATTAGAAAGCAAAAGTAATTATTGGGATTTCAATGCACTACAAGGAAGTACAACCTGTATTTTCCCACGCTCACGACCAATCAAAATCAGCCAGAGAAAAAGAGATAAAGTGAAAATAGAGGGTATAGTAGATCAGAAGTAGGTTTCATATAATATCTGACCTCTCACCGGTTTTTTTTTTTTTTTTTTTTTTTTTTTTTTTTTTTTTTTTAGCATTCAGCGTGAGTTTTGGTCGGATTTTCTTCATAAGTTCATCGAAAGCAACTTCGTGGAAAGCCATCAATAAATTAAAATGAACGATTCTTTCAAGAAAGCAATGTAATTTAAAATATTCTACACTTCATTTGAAGATACATTTGGACCGATATGAAATTTCCCATCGCTTTCAGCATTCTTTTTACTGCCCAAGGAAAGAGCGACAGAGACACCACCCCAAAAGCTTTACATCTCCATTTTATACATGTACAAGTTCTTGCTTTAAGTGATGCATTTTAAGTTAACATTGCATAATTCTTCTATCGTGGGTTAGTACTCTACAGTTTAAATTATGACAACTACATGTATTTCACCATTCAGTCTGATTTTGACTCACAACACTTGTGGATCCTAGGGTATAGCTGAGGGTGTGGTCTCACTTTGCTGAACGAAAAAAATCAGTAGAACAAATCAATTTTACTGTAGCGTATAAGGAACAATGACGGGAATATTGGTTTCGATCGTCTTTCCATTTGCTATTTATACTTTTTTCAAAAGGGGAATTCATCAAAAAGTATGAGAGAAGCATGTGCCCACTGTGTCCCATTCCATGCTCCACTTTTAAATTAAAGCCGTAATGATACAACTACACTGTAAAAACAGTGTTTAGCTCCGAGACACATTTCTAAGCGCCTGTTTTGTCTCATTTTTTCCACGCGTTTAGCACCTAAGCACGTTTAGCCTATTAACATGTTACACGCTTTGACGTGCTTCACGCCTAATAAATGTAGGGTGTATTTGTTTAACTTTAAGGTTGTAACGTTTTCAACTGTTTCAGTCACTACACACACACGCACGCGCGCGCGCGCGCGAGAAGTTACGGTCAGCTTTAACTGCTATAGATATCTCTATCTATAACAGGGTACCGTGAACTGTCAACATAGTTGATTCACACCATCATCTTTACAGCGGGACTTATTCATCCTTGTGTTAGCTGACCTTGCGAGGAAGTTAATTGGAATATATTTCTGAAAAACAAGTTAGGAAAATTCACTAGTTTACTAAAGACACGAAACAACTATCACATTTACTTTAAAACATTTTTTTCATATTTTGATAAAATGCGTTAAGGTATTGATGTTCATTTATTTTTTCCGGAAGTAATGAACAATAGAACATCAGGATGATGGTGGGGTATTCATTATAATGGTTAATTAAAGCTTTCGTCACATGCTGGTTATTTTGGTAACGATAGTCCGAATATTTTTCAAATCGCACCGCTCTAGTCGCCGACTCACCCAAGCCCATTTTGGAATTAACCGCTAACTGTAGTTCATACAGCATAAGACGTGTTTTGGTGATTAATAAAAAAAGTTTTCAAAACATTAAATAATGTTTTTCCAGAATGTTATAAAACGCTTATAAAACTGCAAGGGCATCATTTTGCATGGAGTTAAAAACACCCATAACGTTACCATGA